CAGCATATTATGAAGTCAAGGAACAAGTTAGGGGACCCTAAAAGGAACATTATGCTAACAAAACTTGGATGGAAAGGAGTACAGTGATGCTCACTTGCTTAAGGTGTACTGGAAAGGAACACCAAACATGATCACTAGTCTGCCATAATGCCGATCAAAATCTATTCCTTCGGCTACTTTTCCCCTGCAATTGACAAATTAAAAAACAGTTATCACATCAAAGCATATGATTGGGTCAGTCACACCCCAACTCTTCTGTCATGACACCCAATCATTATCAAATAATTTTCAACCCCCCCCCCCCCAAAAAACCATCTCACATCACTGCTTCCGTATAAATGCTCAAAGACAGTACACCTTAACAATGACATTCTAATACCTGGCAACAGAGAAAAAGACTGCACCTCTCCCACAATCACAAGCCCTACGATAGTTGTCAAGAGCCAACGTAGTTTCTACCACATCTTGGGTCTCGATAAAGACAAGCTTATGTTGCATTATTTCCTGCAATAACAAGATCATCAGATACTCTGAAGGAAATAAAGACACATATTGTATCAATAGAACATTATTGCCTTTAGAAAAAAGGAAAAAGAGATGAATGGGGGAGGTTCGAATAGTTAAGGAAAACCACTAAGGACAGGAAAAAGGGGGAAAAAAACAGTATTTTTTACCTTTAGAATTCCACTTTCATTCCAGGTATTGATAATCCCATCCATATATGAGTAACTCACAAAAAAGCATACAATTCCATCTGGAACAATAGAGACCATCTCCACCAATAGCTTCCCATAATTCCTTACAACACCAGGATCACTTCTCATATCAAATTTGGTACTCACTGGAAGTTGATCACTGTAAAAATTTTCAAATGATACAGTGGACGGTTTAGGGCTTAAAACACTAGTGGATTCTTTAAACAAATAAAATGTTTAACTCCAACAGTGTACCTTCCACGAGTGAGAACCATTGGACATATGCAATCTCTTGTCAAGGACATTTTAAAGCTTCGACTAACAACAGGGTGGAAATTAAGAAGTCGGGGATAGAGATCAATTGGGCTCAGAGTTCCAGATGTAATCACGACTGACTGAAACCTATCAAACACAGGCTTTATGGCAAGAGAAGCATCATGGCAACTGAGCTGAAATGAACAAGGTGAATAAAGGCTAGATGTAAGTAAGAAGACATCGGACAAAGGATGTTATAAATAAAACAGAGGACATGACCAAATAAGCAATCATAGCAACCTTGCAAAACTAACATAACTTCAATCAAGAGGAGAACAATTACACCTATTGAGCACATGCAGACACATAGGAGGTAGGGCAGCAACTATGGAAACGAATAAAACACAATAGTAGAAAGTTCCCTTAACAGGTAAGTCAAAATCACATAATAGATTCTGCATGAATGTCCTGTACAGGACATGTAGGTCATAAACGTAAACATTCATAGAATAATGAGAGGTCTGACATAAGAAACCATTCCCTATATTGAATATATATAATGATAACAAAATAGCACATGAAAAATAAAATGAAGATGAAGACGAAGAAGTAGAAAAAGTAGGAGGAACCTGTAATACGGGGTCAGGAATATGTGGCATTCTCTCATCAAAAGGTTCGATTATGATGGAAAATCCACGAGAATATGTCCCTACAAGTGTTGCAAAGTCACATATTGTTTGGACATGTAAGAACTCAGATGTATCAGTTATTTCCAATGTCAACATAAGTGAATGTAGACGATCATAACAAAACTTCAGTGTTTTCTGGTCGATTCCAGCTTGGTTGTTTATGGAGGCAACAAAGCTAATAGGGCTTTCCTTCTCAACATTCTCCGTATCCAACCGCACTGTTAGATACTGGAGCAATCTACGTAAAACGTGCAAAAAATGTTCTGCCCGGCGAATATTTCCCGGAACTGCCTCCTTCAGAATATCATCAGGCAAGGCAGGATTTGAAAGCCAGGAATCTGAGTCTGCAGAAAGAGATAGAGAGAAAGAAAGAAGTACAGCATGTCAGAACATAGGTTATAATAGAAATTAGCACAAGTGTTCAGAATGAAGCTGTAATGCTTTAGCATTTGACATACCAGCTAAGTTTCCACTTAATGCCAAACCATTAACAAGCCGCTTGTATTCATCACGCAGTCTATTAGCATCAGTGGCCTTGAACCTTCCTAACATGTCAAATAAAATTATTAAAATGTAAATAAACTTCAGTCTAGAAAATGATTCCAAAACCCTTTGCCATTTGATCAGGGCATATATATGAAGGCAGATAATTGAAGTAAGGCGCTAGGACACTTGCATTTATCAGATGTAAGTGAAGAAAGAAACAAAATATTCTTCATTCTTTTTCTCATATTTGAACAAGAGCATAAGCATCTAGGTCCATTTTTAAGGCACATTAAAACAAATATCAAATAGCACTTACATTAGAAATTAAACGTCTCAAAACAATTGGAAATGTAATATATGCTGCAGGTAATCAAACCAATAGTGTAGGCTACAACCCTGAATACAATACTGTGAATCTGTGACAAGTGATCTAGAGTGTGAAACGTTCTCATAAAGGTTAGCTGTCAACACTCCTAGTTAAATGGAAGGAAATAGGAAAAAAAAAAAAAAAAAAAAGAGCCCTACCTCTTAATCTCCTGTTCCATACTTGAGATATTTCTTGATGCTCCATCAAGTGTTTGCCTCCTCACACTAACGCTAAGAGCTTCAATACACACATTATCGATATTATGTGCCTCGTCAAACACCACGACAGATTCCTTCTGCATTTCCTTGGATATAATCCCAGCCACCTTCGGATCAAGCAAGTATTGGTAACTATAAACTACCACATTCGCAAGCTGCACCATATGCCGCGCCAAAAAATAGGGACACCACCCTTTCTCTTTCCCAAAGGCCCTTAGATCCTAATAAACATTTCTTTACATCTCAATAATCTTGTTCTAACAAATCAATTAGAAAACACAATTAATCAAGTTTAATTAAAACCAAACCCCCAAAATACATCCAAATAAATAAATAAAATTGATTACCTGAAGAGTATAAACCCCAGGAGGCAAAACAGCACCAGAAGCAGCCCTCTCATAATTTTCATAAAACTCACAAGTCTCCACATCAGGATTCTCTGCGGCCAAAGCCCTAACCCAACTCGCTGTCCTTCTCCGACACGCAGCATCAACAGAATCCCTATTCGCTGATTCCAAAACCGCACGATTTACACACAAATTCTTCCTCGATGACAGTCCAATTGCCAAAATCTTCGCGGCAGGGCCCAAGTGCTTGACTTGGTAATCATGCAATAACTTCAATTCGGCTAGAGTTTTCTCCATCTCATGAACTGTGCGCGTGCAGTAAATAAGCTTGATTGCGCCTTGCGGTTTAGAGAGAGTGTAGCTTGTGATTAACGAGAGTAAAGCTATTGTCTTTCCGGTTCCTGTTGGCATTTCAAGAAGACAGTGGCCTTTAGCATCTAGTGCCCGCTTTAGTTCCACCATGTAAGAGTATTGCTCCGGGTATATGTGATCGTAGGGGAAGTATACGGTCACGTCCTCGATTGGAAACTTCATGGTCTAATTTTTTTTACGGATCTGTATACTGTGTATTTTTATGTATGAGAAGGCAAACAAAGAACGATAAGAGAGAAATAGAGTGGGAGAGTGAGAGAAAATATGCCGGTTCAAGGCGGAGGTGTGGAGGTCACTAGCGTAGCCTAGTGGCTTCAAGAGTAGGACGAGAAAGCGAACAGTTACAGATGCCCTGAATGAAAATATATAAGGAGGCTAAAGTATATTTTGGTCCCATGGTTTTTCCAAATGTTTTACTTAGAATCCTATTGTTTTCAATATTAATCCTAAATTTAATTTCGATATAGACAGGAGTATATATATCGATGGTGGTGGTTTAAGATTGAGCATCTGTAGTGGTATTTTGGAATAATGAATTTACTTAATCATGATGGGAATTGCAATTTAATTTCTGAAATTTTCAAAATTTTCATTCCTATAATTTGATAATTTTTAATGGCAATATAAATTTTTTATGCTGTTTTAATGTACTAAAAAAAGAAAATTTTATTCACTTAATCAATTTCTTAATCCTATTATTTGATAATTTTTCATTAAAAATTCTTTTCGCTTGAATTATTAAACCTGTCTAACATCTATATCTTTCGTTTGATAGTGAAAAAAAAAAAACAATAACTAGTAGTTAGAATGTCTTTAAGTATCAAACTTCATTTTTTGGCTTTTCATGGTCATTCACATAATAATTGTTAAAAATAAAAAATATAATTTTGTTTACTGTATGTTGCAATAATGGTTTCGGAATTTGAATATATATATATATAATATATTACTTGCTGGATATGTTGTATATTTCGATACTTATTGTTAATATAAATTATTATTTGTCTAGCTAATCACATATTGTTAAGTGGATATAATTGTTTTATTATGAAAGAATATTTTATTCAAACATGTTTATTAATAATTAGATTACTGACAATAATTATTTAGAAAAAAGAAAAAATTATTGACAACGAACGAGCCAAACAAAATGGTTTTCAAAGGTTATGATAATGTTCACCGATTTTATTATTATTTTTTTTAAAAAAAGAAGTCTTTTGCAGTTTCCTAGAATTTCAAATTAAAAAGGGAAAATAAAAATCGCAACGGATACAAGGAAGCAGATAGATTTTTCATTTTGCTTCATAAGGTGAAATATTACATGTGAAAGTAAAGTAGGGGCTGAATGAAAGACGTGAAAACTAGAGGAGCTGAAATGTGCTCTATCCACACAAAATATCTGACACGTCAGCCTTCTTGATATTTAGGTGCACCGTCTAGAAGCCGAAAAGAGGAGCGTCTTTCCTAAAGTATAGTTATCAGAGGGAATGAGCGAGCGCGTTTCTGGGAGCAATATTTGAAGTGAAGAGAAGTAAAGCAGAGGGACCAGGGGGACTCAGGCTCCGCCGCTCATGGAAGCAACTCTTAGCTTCACTCCGCAAGTATTTGGGTTCCGAACCCTCAATTTTCGAGGTAATAAAGGGATTGAAAATGCGAAGAGAAGCTCAGCCAGGGATTATTTTTTCCTTTTATATTTTTTATGTGCCTGAATTCTAGGGTTATGATTCGTAGGTTCGATTATCAACTGCTTAGTATTGATTTTTAGCATATTCTGTATTTCGAGTTATGGAATTAATTGCTCTCTAAAGTTTGATGACCAACAAGGCTGCCATAAGATTAGGCAGTGGACAATGATGGTTATCTTAACTCACTCTGATACTACCATCCTTGACTGTTCAGTTTTAAATTTTAGGTGAAATAAAGGATTTCTGGTTGAAAAAGTGTATTTGGTTTTGTCCATGTTGATGACCTCCTTTATTTGGGTGAAATATGAATCCAGCTATTGATTAATTGCCACTCCATTAAAGAATATTCAGAATCTGCCTTTTAAGCAACAAGCAAAAAGGATGTACTCAGAGCAAAAATGTATGGTTGAGTGATTTGTCTTTTGTCTTGTTGAGGCTGTGATGTTCCAATTTAAGCAATACAAATGGCGTCTCTCTCTCCACAACACCAGTCACCACACCCCCCCCCCCCCCCCCCCAACTCAATTATTTGCCTTTCTGGTGGTTGAATACAACATTACATGATTGGTGCAGGCCCACACACTGGAGGTAAACTTCAATTATGCTATCCCCTGTGTGCAAAAGCCAGTTTTTCTGACAAGATGAATCTAGCAGAATCCAGCAGAAGGCATTTCTTGTTATGTAACAGACCTATTCCGTTCAGAACAAACAAAAAATTCTCCATTAATTCTTCAGATCAGCTTCAAACTGATTATGCAAATGCGGAGACAACACCTGCACTTGAAGCTGTACCACCAAAATCTGATGATGGGGCTGCTCTTCTCAATTTGCATGATGTCAATAACTTGAACCCTTTGCCATCTCAACCTAAAATGTTTCGAAACAGGTTCATCAATTTTGGACGGATGAGTTCTGTTATCAATAGTGCTGCTGAATCATTTTTCAAGAGTGAAATACGACGGAGGTTATTTGTGACAGCTGCTTTAATTGTAATCAGTCGTGTTGGATATTTTATTCCTCTGCCTGGATTCGATAGAAGGTTGATACCTCGAGATTACCTAAGCTTTGTCTCTGGATCTGTTGGTAAGTTAAACTTAAATAACTATGTGCATGTGCTCATTCACAAATTCAAAAAGATACAATTTTGTAAGACAATATAATATAACCCATTCTTGGGGCCTTGCCTAACAACTTAAACTTGTTGGAAGTGGTTCTTTGACAGTTTTTAATGCCACACTTGATTTTTCATGCCTATTGTTTTAGCTCAAATTGCTGGGATTTCAAAGATAGTGTTTCTAATTTTGTTCGATTGAGTAATTCATTATGCTTTTTGGCAGATGAATTAGACTTCTCCGCAGAGCTGAAACTGTCACTCTTTCAGCTTGGAATCAGTCCTCAGATATTAGCATCAATACTCATGCAGGTTTTTAGCCAGATTACATATTTCTTTTTTAGATTGTTATGTATCACTACACTATACTTGATCCTTCACTTTTCTACATCTCATTGCAATTTGTGGATTTTCGTATATTGGACAGTCACAAAAACTGTTATAACTTCTTTTTTTCGGTGAAAACTAAGCAAATACTTGAAGCAGTTTCTGTAAATAAATCATCACTATTTGTGGGTGCATAATTAGATTAAGAAGTGCTTCTGGTGTTTGTGATAGCTGGTTCCTTATAAAGTTTGAGGGATTGTGAGGGCTATAGAAAGTTGATATCCGTTCATGGAAATTTTTGTTTTTGAGATATTTGCCCTTCCAGCGTAAAACTTGCTGTTCCATATTTAAGTTTGCCTGACTGTGATGCTGCTAGCCAGATTATTCTAAAATATCTTTGTTGCTTATGCTCTGTGGTATCCAGTTAAAAGTCTTGCCTCTACTTGAGGATAAAATCAATCAATCAATCAGATACTCTTTTCTTTCCAAGTTTATCCACCTAAACAAAATCTCAGGGTTTCTATTGTATTCATTTAGTATTGGCGCTCCAGATATGTGATAGCATAATAAAATACATACAGTACTGGTTTTAATAGTATTTGGAGTTCATGCATTAAATATGTTATATAGATGGATGCATTTATATACTGGATGTGCGAATAAACTTGTTCTAATTCTCATGAACTGGATTCTCAGGTACTCTGTCATGTTGTTCCATCCCTGGTAAAGCTGCGGAAAGAAGGCTTGGATGGCCATGAGAAGATTAAGAGTTATATGTGTGTCTAGTTATTCATCTCAAGCAGTGAGACGAGTCCTTGCCAGTGGATCTTGACTTGAACATTAAATAATATTTAATCAGTCATTTACATTGGAGGTTACAAGTCAAGTAGTTTTTTTTTTCCTTTTTCTTTTTTTTTTTTCAGATGGTGGATTTCACTTGGCTTTGCAACATTGGAGGCAATTGTAGTTGCTTGCTATTCACTTCCTTATTCAATTTATGCAGCCAGTCAAAGGTAATTTAGTGAGAATGTTGTTCCAGCAATATTCCTTCTGACTTTAGACTCCAATTGCCACACAAAAAATTGAAAGAAAAACCCAAATTTCTATCATCAGTTGGAGTAAAACTATTCTGCCTTGTATGTTGTTCTTAATGCATGCATTCCTCTTTTTTATGTTATTAAGTTGGTGAATAGCTATTCAATAAATGCTCAGAAGGAGCTTGCTTTATAAAATTTTCATGGTTTTGGTAGGGTCAAGCACGTGATGGTGACAGCTCTTTTGTTGGTATGCGGTGCAATGACTATGACATGGATCTGTGATACTATATCTGAATCTGGATTTGGTACCATCTTTGTGATTTTGTTAATGTTTTTGTCTATTGTTTTCTTCTTTTGTCTAGCTTGCTTCTTTCTAAAATAAGTTCAAAGAAATTGTGATTGCTGTTTTCTCATTACTTCAAAGTAGTCAGAAGGGATGTGCAATACTTTTGATTCTTTGTTAATGTGTGGTGTACTGTTTTTAACTCTTCAGCATATTTCAGGTCAAGGTTCATCTCTAATTATATGTGTGGGGATCCTGACGGGTTACACTGAAACATTATACAAGATGCTGTCTCAGCTCTCAGGTAAGTTATAGGAGATCACGCTAACGATGCCCAAATTCTTTCCTTCTTTCCTTTCTTTCTTTTTTTAGCTGCAATGAGTGTTTGACAGAGTGAAAAACAACATTTTGTTGCAAGTAAAAGGTAAAATGTAAATAATTGATACAGAGTGTAAATAAAAAATATTGAACTTCAAGACGAACATTATACTTCCAGAACCCTCATGACCACAGGATTGAATTTGTTAACATGCAAAGGGGAGGGTAGGATGTTGCATATCTTTGTATCTTTGAACCGGTCTTTGCAAAATCAAATGATGAGTGCTCCTGATGCAAAACAGAAACTGCTAAAAAGTTGTGTTTAATTAAATAAATGAAGAGAGAGCATGGCCTTTTTCTTTAACGTGAAGCTATCTTAACTATTTTGTCTAAGTTATAGCTCAGAGTATTTATTTGGAGCTTTTTCTGCACACTGCAGGGAGTGCTGCTAGTTGGTGGCCATATATGTTTGCTGTATTGGGTGTTTTTACCTTTGTCACTATGTGGGCAGTGGTGGTGACTGAGGGTTGCAGGAAAATAAAGCTGCAGTACTATGGCTTCAAACTTGCCTCTGATGCAAGGTAACACTGTAGTTCTCCATTAGCTCCCTTTTTGGTGGACCAAAATGCAGATTACATAAATTCACTTTTATGCTCTTTATCTTTTTGTCCCATGTTATTTGAAGTGCTTGATTCTGGAGATGGTTATTCTGTAGTGCACTACTATGTGAGCCAGAGGATGGTTAAATACCTGACTAATTATTTCACAAGCACTACAGCAACTATGAACAATATGTCCTTTTGCTTGTGTATTAACTCTAGTTAATTATGTTGGTTATGACATTATTTTTTGTTTGTGTTTTGGACAGAGATGATTCACCAATTACTGAAGTGGAGCCTTATATCCCCTTCAACATTAATCCATCTGGAATGCAGCCTCTTCTCACTGCAACTTATCTCTTGGCTATTCCTAGTATTCTTGCTGGGTATCTTCATCTAAACTGATTTTTATATCGTTTCTTATTGACATGTTCATTGTGAATACTAAGGATGAAAGTTCATATGTATACTCTTAAACTTGTTTGCTTCTCTTTTTATTAGATTTGATTTTGTCTTGGAATCTTAAGATTTTCAAGTTAGGACGGTGCCCTTTGTGCTGACAATAGCATGAATATATTAGTGGCGCCTCACCAAAACTTGTGTCGGTAAGGGTTCTAACACATAGCATTTGTGGCAGCATCCTTGGGTCACCTTTCTGGGAGCACGTTAAGGAGATATTGAACCCTGAAACTTCTATTGGTGCAGAGCCCTGGGTTTACTATTCAATATATGCCTTTTTTGTCTTCTTATTCAATATATTTGACATTGTAAGTTTATACTCATCTTTATTTGAATTATTATATCATAAATGCTATGTGATGGAAACTTTTGCTACTATATTTGTTTGTTGTCTTCTTGATCCTATAATTTTATGCCTCAAACTTTTCTTCTAGCTACTTCTTGTCAATCGCATATCTGCAGAAAATGTGAAATTAATTTATTCAAGAAAGCATGTCAAGCTAGATGGACCACTTCACTCTTTATGCAAAAGTTCCTATTTAAGTTTGTTCTTGATATGCATTTTCTATCATTTTTTATTTTCTATTTGTGCATGTCACTTAATTGGAGATTCTATACAGGCCAACTTGCCAAAGGAGATTGCAGATTACTTGAACAAAATGGGAGCTAGGATTCCAAATGTAAAACCCGGGAAGGCTACCATTGCGTACCTCACTAAGATCCAGGGGTCAACACGATTCTGGGGTATATATTTGCCCATGCAAATTATTTATTCAATGAATTACTACAATTTCAAGCTGAGCCTTTTTTGGTCAGTTCTTTTTCCAAAAAAAATTTACCATTATTTTTTGGATGGGTGGATCCTGCAGGAGGTCTGTTGTTGAGTGTATTGGCAACTACATCAACCATTCTTGACCATTACTTGCGTCGTATCAATGAGGGATTTGCAATTGGGTTTACATCAGTTCTAATTATTGTGAGTGCCACTTGACACCTTGTGATTATGTATTATTCACTTGGCTTCATTGTTTTAGACTGTTTGATGATGGAATTGCGCCAAGGAGGCATGATAGAGAAACAAAATCTCCTAATTTACAAACTATCTTACCTTTTTTTATGTGAAAAAGATTGTCATTATGTAGAGAATTTGTCAATTATAGTGGTTTGTACAGCTATGTCATATTCTGCTCTTCTTCTAACATGCCGCATTTATTGTTGGTCCAGGTGGGTTCTATTATTGAATTAAGAAGATCCTATCAAGCATATAATGTTATGCCAAGTTTAAGCAAAGCTCTGAGGCGGTATGGTGTGTAACTTGATGATGCTGCAATTACCTTTTCAGGTAATAAAAAATTAGCCCATAAAATGAAATCCTGCCCCAGGTAAAATTGCTGGTTTATGATGAATAAATTTATTTTTCTTTATTGCAGAGATTCTTTAAATGGCAACTGTTGATTGGTATTTGTTCTTGCGACACCTCGAAGGACAAGCACCAGGAACTGCCAAATTCAATTGTGCAAGTAAAAAGATAGATGTCTTTTTGATCATACAGATTTAAATGATGCAAGAGTGGATGGATTCTGAGCCTCAATTTTGGTTATGGCTTCTACTCCTTCCAAGTCCCAACCAGTATACCGTGTTTTAGGCTATTTAGTGTTGCAATTGATTGAATGGACAGATGCACCCAAACCATAATTCTATCTAGCCAGGACGGGAGGGCTAGTTCACGTCGCTGCTAGAAGCTGTCGTGCGACGTAAAGATGAAGTTAGATGGTGATAAATATTGGATGCTTAGTTGTTGGCCGGTATAGCATGGGGGGTTGAAATGGACCCTCATAAATCGTGTTTTTCACTATGCACCCTCGTGTATCACCTGGTCGTAATTCATGCAAGGACGAAACAAATTCCACTATGCGCGCTCCCTTGTGATTGTGTCAATGTGTCACAATGTTCTTTACAGCATTTGCTTTAAAGTATTTAATGCAGTTCTTGACGACATTTTAGAATTCCATTTCAATGGTTAAAAAATGTCTTGCCATGTACCATATTGTTCCTCTGGTGTAATAAAATCCCAAGCCTGAAGGCATATAACTTCCAAATGGTGAATTCAAAGTGAACTGCGTTTTATTTTCTTGGATTCCCAGAACAGATATTTATCAGTTCTGTTATTACACAATCAAATTGTACCTATCAAAATTTCCTATTTTTTGACATGACCGGATTTTAATGTCAATATCAAAGTTATGCTTGGTATGGCAGTACCTTTCAGCTGCTAGTTATGACTAGTGTTGTGTGTGTGTGTGTGTAGTTTTTGGATATTTACCGATACACCCGAAATCATTCTGAAATATCAATTATAGAACTTTAGCAACCGGATTGTCTGTAGAATTAGACCAAGCCCAATGACAAAAGCCCATTTATCGCAGTCACAGCCGTCCCGCCTAAATATCCTTTCAATTAAGCCGAAAGCATCTCTCCATAAAAACAAACGACGATGGAAGGAGAAGGAAGCTCATCGGAAATGGAGTTTACAAACATCGAGACCAACGCTGACTCGATCGACAACTCAGTGATCTTCCACGTCATCAAAGGCGTTGTCGGTTTTGTTCTCTATATGCACCAGCAAATCCCTTCGTAAGTTACTTCTGTCTTCTGCTTCCCTTAATTTCACCTTTTTTTTTCTTTTTTCAAGACCGATAATTGAAATTGCAGACCCCGATTAGGTTTCTCTGAAATAAATAATTTTTAGGTTTAGGGAAAATATTTCATGGAGGCTAGGTTTTGAAGCATGAATCTCTGCGTTTCAGTCCTAAATAATGTGTTTTGAATTTTCCAAATTAAACTGTAATTATTAGAAAAGATGGAAATTATTGGTCAAAAGAAGCGAATTAAAAAATGCTAAAAATCTTTGTTACTTGTTAATCCAGGATTTTGCAGGATATTAGTCTTGAATTTGATAGTTTGCAAACAGAATACAAAGAGCTGGTACGTTATTATTATCATAGATGTGATTCCGGAGTTTATTATTATAATAATTATTATTTTTCTTTGAAGCCTAAGAGTTGTTATTTATAGGAGACGGCAATTACACAAACTGACTTGAAGGCATCTGTTCGAAGAAATCACATTAGCAAAATGAGAGAAGTGAAACATGGGACTAAGAGACTGGAGAAATTGGTGAACACAGTAGGTGGGCTTGAGAGTGCGTTGCAACTCATAATTAGTGAGGTTCTTTGCATTGAGGAAGTAGTTTTAGTTCTTGGAGCTAGTCCAATACGGCCCCGGTATGTATATGAATTGTGTTTTTTGCGCGGAAAAGTTGTCCAAAGAGATGATGATGGTGGTTTCGCTAAAAGCAAAGTTGCAGAAGGGATTTCAAAAAAGGTTTTTTTTTTCCTTCGTATTAAGTTGCAAATTTGACAATCTTTTATGGAGTTTAATAGTTCAAATGTCTTTCAACAGGCTGTTCGTGCCTTGATCAGGAAGGGTGCTGGATCTGGTTCCTATCCAGGTAGCTGGTATAGCTCATCCTGTCATTATTGGTTAATCTGCAGAAAGTCAACACTGATATTTCGGTGTTTCTTTTTTTTTTCTTTTTTTTTCAAATCTCTAGGTCCTACTAAATTGTTTCTGTTGGTGAAAGCTCCATCTTCTTTCAATTTACCTCTGCATTTTCTTCCAAAACGTGACTTCAGATACAGTAAAAAGGTATAGATTGATCTACCCAAATAGCAAAAAGCTTTATCGTACTTTTACATCACGAACTTCTTGCATTAATATCAGATGATTTTCTTGTTTGATTGCATTCTTGGTTTTTGGGCAGATTGTGCCTTCCCGATTGCAAATTAAGTGTAGAAGCCATGTTCTGCAAATGGATGCTCCTGATTGTAGTTCTCAAACCAGCAGCTCCAGAAATTTGAGAGAATCTGCTTCAAATGATTTAATCTGGTATAGGACTATGGCTTCTGTTTTGATATCATTAATAGGTTTTCTATTATCTGACCTTGTGAGCTTCAATTCTATAGTAGATGATTGAAATTTGTTTGACTCTTTGATGTTGATAACACATAGCAGTTGAATGATTTGAAGAGCAGAAATGAACTTTAATAATTTGTGAACCACCCCAGAATGATACAGTGCATAGATTAAGTTTTGTTAGCTTTATGGTCAGAAATGACGAAGGTAGGAGGAGTAAATATCCAGGACCATGTGGTCTGCGCCTTTTGCAATTCCAGAAAAAGTCCTTTTTTAATAGATAACGATGTGTTCTAACTTTTTTAAGTCTTCTAGAAACTAGGGACAATTGAAGCTATTTCTGTCACTGGCTTCTTGACACCATATGAGGATGCATGAGCCACAAGATTTCGACATCATAAAGTACATGAGTTCTCTCTCTTGCAGGTTTCAATGTCGCCATGTAATCAAAGGCCTTGCATTCAAGATCCCAACCGAAGAATGAGAGTCTTTTCATCTTGTAAAGAGCATCTTTTCTTATGCCTCCTCTGATTATGCTTCACTTAAAATACCATGTACCTATGCAACAACATTTGTAAGTAACGGTCCTAATCTTTCATCAAATTCCTTGACCCTATGGTCAAATTTTCTGTTGATATGTGGTGCATCATCATTATCAATAGATGCCTGGTAGTATCCTTGTGACGTAGGAAGAAAAGGCATAAGATAGGTAAAGATAGCTAACACAACCAGAGGCTGGTTGTCTGGGTTGATCAGCCAGAAAAAAACAACAGACCCTTTATTAAAATATCAAAGTTATTTCGTATTCCAGTTGTAGCAGTCCTTAAATACTAGAAAAGCCCCAAGTAAAAGAAATCCTATCCCATAAAAATAACTAAATCTTAGCCATCCAAACTACCACAATAAATAATAAGTGAATAAACTATTAAAAGAAAACCCTACTTATATAAAAGCTCATGCAATTCTAGCTCCTGCATCACCTTGGTATTCTTATCCGACTAGAAATTTGTATTTTATCTTTATGCTGTTTCCTTGACCTCTTTGTTTCCGAGATCATCGATCGGATGATCAAAATATAGCTTGCTCCTATAATACCCACTAACAACTTGCATGTGCCATTGATAAATTATCATTTCATATTTGAAAAAAAAAACAATCAAAATTAAACTCTGTCAACTGTCCTACCAATATCTTACCTATAAGCAAGCTGTAAAATAAGTCACGTGCCAATGAAGCTTTGGATAAACAATAAAGGAGATAGAGTGCTGTTATTATTATATAATTTACTTTGTACATGATATTTAACAGCACAACATAATGAGATGTCTTGCTTTTATGCACTGTGATATGGCAGCCCCTTCGGGAATTAATAAGTCCACTCTTTGGGAAGAAATATCTCTGGTGAAGAATTTTCATTATTTGATACAATAGCACATTGTGCTGATACGTCCTTGCTATTTTTATTCTTGAAAGAATTACAGTCCCTGCCTTTTGATTTATTCTTGGCATCTGCAATAAAACAATTGTTGGCAACAAATTAATCATAAAGCCTATACACATAGAAGATAAGAACACAAAGTGAATAAGGCTAACCTTGCCGGCGTGATATGTGCAAGCCTATTTCATGCACATTGAGATTAAGAGCTTGAACAACACGTGCAGGGAGGAGAACAGGAGCGCAAGCTGCACAATCATGAAAGACAGTAAATCAGTACAAATGTTTTCTGCCTCTTCATTTTAGCAGCATCATAGCTGATTTTGGTTTACATGAGCTCATTTTATCATGCCTGTTTGCCAGGTTATTATTATAAACTTTTTTTTTTTTTTTTGTGGCTTCAGTAGTTCAATTAAATCCACTGTTTAAAATGATAATGGGAAAAGCAAGCACATACACATGGACATGGTTGTGGTATCTCATTCTATCGAAGATTCAATAAGATGCCGTACCTGGCTTCTTGCTCGATTGCATGTTGGTGCCTGCCCTTTGTGGAAGAAAAACTCCAGTCCCAGATGATTTTTTACCAGAATCTAGAAAAACAGCTTGCATTCCAGGCCCCCCTGATGCCCAATTGGAGGCGTATTTTGTTCTACAATTAGGTCTTGGGCTGGATTTTGAGCGCTGACAGTGCATAAGCTGGTGGGTTAGAAAGTTTCATTACTGGAGTGTTCAAAGATAACGACGAGGAATATTTTTAAATGATGATCTCTTCTATACTTCGATTATTTAGCAAAATTGGTTTCAGAGACGACGTTTAAAATCTCCGTTGCGAACAAGAAGAAAGAACTACTTTGAAAACATTAAAAGAAAAAAAAAACAGCAATCCCTGCATTATTTTGCAACAAAATTATTTAGTAGGTTGTGTTAAGACATTTTACATTATCAGTACTCATCTTGGTTTTTGCCCGCTATTCTATTGCAAATTGAATTATTTTTACCTAATACTATTTTCACTTTTTTGTGGTTAATAATCGTTTAAGACGTTATTTTTTTTATAAACGTATCATCATTTATTCAACTTCCAAAGGTAGAGATTGCATTTTTTTGTGTAATGTTTTGTGCAAATTCTGTTCAATTTTTATCTTAACTCACCATCCGTAGGATTGAGTTGGATACATAGGCTTATGCCATTTGTTTCTTGGAGAAAACTTTCTGCCTATCGCGTATCATAACAAACTGGAAGAATTCCAAAGCAACGGCAAAATGCCACTAAGCACTCAGAAAGTTTCTTTTACATATTCCATATTCTCAAGCTTATCTCACAATCAATGACAAAAATTTAACCATAATATTTATCATTAAAAACATTGTGCAGTCTTATTTCCTGCCTATCATGCATCTCCTCTTTCTTTGAAACTGTTCAAAATATCATTTACTTGTGACGACAAGAGACTGTTGACATTATTGTCCCACATCTATTAGCATTCCTACAACGTTTTACTTGCAAGCAATGACTTGAAGTCTATTAATTAGTCATCTTTATATTGATTGCATGCCCTATCTAAAGCTTTAGTTTGCTTGCATTCGTATAAGAAAGCACACATACCACCAATATTTATGGCTGTATTCGGTATTCCATCGATCTAACGTCGACTATTCCACCTTATACCAAAACGTAGAAGTTTGCAAATAGAACCTTTGAATTAGTGATGATTGCTTGGGCATCAAAAGAAGGCCATAAATGGTGGAAAACAGAATGGCCATTAGGCTTAAAAATCAATTGTTACATTCAGTTTCATTTCCTAAATATTGGGTCATAGACGTTAAAGTAAACAATAATGTTCACTTGTTTTAGTTAAGCACGCATGACTTCATTCAATAGCATTAATCGTATTAATTATAACAACAGTCTTCAATATTCAAAAAACGAAAACGAGCATTTGATAAGTATAAAAATACTTCTGGAATAAGTGGGAGCTATAAAAAAGAAAAAACGTCTGTACCTGTGGATGCGGTTCTAGAGGCAATTTAGGAAGACTGCGACATTCATGGTGGTGATGCTGTTGGTGCTTCACATATTCCTAAAATAAAACATGGCCCTAAAACTTTAAAAACAAGAACTAAGGAACCTAAAAGACCGACACAAAAACAGAAGTACTCGAACATGGGATTCATTGGAATGTTTTTTTGAAGAATATTCATTGGAATATCGTCAATTAATAAAACTATATATATGTACCTTGGAGTTCCATATAGCCTCGTCTAGAACATGCGAAGGTAGGCATGAAATTGCTTCTTCAAACCCAACTTCTCCATCATCAATACCAGCCATTGAACGCAGAGAGAAGGACAAAAAGGGAGAGACAAGCAAAGGGAGGTTTCAGGCTTCAGGCTTGTTATTTCAGTTTCTTTCTTGTTCTGGAGTAGAGAGATGGAGGCTTTTAAGCTCCAACTTCTGACCTGCAACATAACTAGATTGATACGTGGAAAGAAGGAGTGATAAAATGATGGATAGTGGGACCCTTTTCGCCACATAATAATCACTCTCATCTTCAGCGCGTGCACTACATTTTCCAAGGCATTCTGATGAAAACGATTACGGCTTTATGCTGCGTAATTGTTACTGTTCCTGTAAGCGTATGATTTGCGTCTTTCAATTGCTTTAACTGACCCTTAGTTTCGGACTAGGTTTGAGCATAAAACCACGTTACTTTTTAAAATATCTATCGTATGTTTTTGGTCCTCTGGGCTATAAATTTACTAATCTGACCGCCTAGAGGCTAGAGCTGCTTTTTATTGCTCAGAATTAAAGAAAATAAAATACTTTGCGTATAAGTATTTATTTTCCATTCGAATTTGGAAAAAAAAAAAAAAGTATGAATGGCAACTTCATTCAATGCACGAGCTAAGTTTTCAAATGATTACATCTCCAATAAAAAAGGGTCGTGTAGATCCAAAAAAAAAAAAAAAAAAACCTCTTTGATCTTTTAATATATTCACACGTTTTGTTTTTATTAATGTATTTTACAAATGTGTTAGTGTAATTGAAGGTGGAACTGTGCATAATTTTACTTTCGATATTATTGGTTTATACTGTTGGTGTCTTTTATTTCTTTCAAAAAGATTATGTCAATTGATTAAAAATTAAAATGGATCCCTTAGTTATTGTTAAAGTATATACTTTAATCTGAAATTCAGTTGACTCGTTTCAAATTCTAGTAAAAAAAAAAAACCATTTCTATTATTGAATCTTAATTATCTGATTTTGTACCTTTCAAACTTTGAATACCCGAAAAATCTCCAACAATTTAGTCTCATGGAAAAAGTTTCTTAGCCAGCATGGAAATCCAAGAATTATACGTATGCATGTAAGTATGTGTATTTTTGTCTCCTAACCCCCTCAAAAAAATAAAATCGAGGATCGAGTACTAATCTGGTATTTATGAGATATATATATATTGAAGGGTATTTCAGTCATTAAACAGATAAAGAAACCAAAAACAATGAGACGTGGACTGTAGGTTGGGTTGGGTTGGGTTTGGTTAACCCCTCTATTTGTCTCTTTAAATATTTTTTTCACAGCTATTCATATCATAACGTAAACCTCACTACTCCAAAAATCATTAGCCACATAAACCTGCTTTTAAAGTCATGATTTTGGGTATGGGTTGGGGTTTGGGATGATTAGACCTTTTAGGTCTCCTATCTACAAAAAAAAATTTTGAAAAAAAAAAAGTCATGATTTTGGTTTTGGATTTTATTGATTGCTGATCGTCCCACATCTCCAATACGTAACGTGGTATTGGTAACAAGATACTTCATAGCTAATTTGGTGATCAGTTGAACAGGTTATATGGTGACTCCTCGTCCCAAATGTAGCCTGCATGTTGCAGCTGGTGGCTGTTCCTCTTAACAACCACACCAACCCACGAAAATCTAGCTTCTCGAAATGTTTTGTTTGGTTTAGGAAAGAGTGTCCACCAGAGGATATTTTTATACATGTATAATGTGTCAGAAGGAGTAACGATGAACCCTTTTTAAAGGTTTTTGACTAGTGAAATTTGAACTTCTAATCTGATTTACTTTGGTAAGCCCATATGGCCATGAGAGTGGTAGTCTAAAACATGAGATATTGGTGAACTACTTGTTGTTTGGAGATTGTCTGATGTCTTTGGCAGAACTGGATTTTTCGATGTCTAATTTTTCCATGGCCGGATTTGCATTTCTATATCCCAAAACCGGCTACTTGTTTATTTATAATTGGAAGTCAAAAAGCTTTCTTTTTCCTACTAGGGAAAGTGGGTGGGTACTGTTAGTTGGACTCCAATGTCCGAAAGTTAAACTAACTTGCAACTTTTAGCATATCCAACTAAGCATCTAGCATTGCATAAAAGAATTAAGAGTTCCTCATGTAGTTTATAGTAAAGTAGTAGTAGTCGGACAACTTTTTTCAGAAGAGAACTATTGTCGCAACTACCCAACGAATGTTTAAATTATCGAACCACCTGTTACGATGCTATGCTAAACTAAACTGGAACTAATCCACTTAAAACGGGTGTTCATTGCTCCACCCCATTCTCTCTTTAGTCATCAATGCCATTGTTTATAAATAAAAAAACCTGTAAAGACACAGCTATGCACAACCCGATTATCTCTGCCCTTAGTTGAGTCCAAAAGTTAAGTAACTCTGTTTTCATCTGGTTGAACGTAGGAATACTCCATCAAGTCCAACCAACTATCTATTGGGCAAACTTTAATGAATAAGGTGGCCAATCAAGGGCATAACTATAAAGAATTCCATTACAGAGATACAAATACAACAAACGGAACAAAAACACAAAAGGTGATTAATGCTTAAACGAAGTCATTACTATTGCCTAGTGATGTATTCAATAATTTCCCACTTGAGTAATGCTGGACTCCAATAACTATCTATTTGCTCAAACCTAAATGAATAAGGTGGGGGACAGACCAGGATGAAAGAGTGGGGGAGATGGCCAACCTTGGCCCTTTATTCCATGGGAACGAATTTCAAAGATCTCTGGTGCAGCAGGTGAAATGCGGACTATTGAAATTAAATTCAAACACATATTTTCAGGGACTCAAACTGAATAGCAAAATATCAGAAGCTCCTATGCTGAATTTAGATGATAAAGTATTCCATTTATTTCAAAATAGGCAAGCTTGAAACTTCACTCACACACATGGTGCTAGTTGTCTGTATGAGCTTGCGTGTTTCTTCATCCAACTCCACATTATCTTTCTGCATTCGCTCTTCGATTATAACTGGCATTTTGCCTGCTTTTGCATAGGTTCGTAGAAGAGAATTATATATCACAGTACTCACATGGCCAGCATCCCGAAGTATAACCAATAGTTGCTCTGCTCCTTCAATATTGCCTTGCTCCTCCAGATTCTTGGATATATCTCCAATCAACCTTTTATCAGGAGTCCATTTTCTTACACTACTTGTGGCTTTCTTAAAATACTCTAAAACCTTCTCCATCTGCTTCTTCTTTAAATGACCACACGTAAGAAGCTCCCAAGTAGTATAACAAGGAGTGATGCTCTTTTGCACCATGCGCTGGCAAAATTTTTCAGCATCTTCCATCTGATTTCTATTGATATAGCTAGCAAGAACTATGTTTGAAATCCTAGAATCTCGAGTTCCAGAAACTGATTCCCACTCATTGTAGATATTTTCTGCTCCTTCAAACTCCCCAAGTCTAACAAGCGAAGATATCATAGAATTATACTCGGCATCATTCATTTTATTAAAGATTGACTTCATCTTGTTCCAGATTCGATGTAGCCCATCCTTATCCTTCATGTTAGCATGCAAACTGAGAAGAGAGGAGTAAGCAACTCGATTTTTCTTCGAAGCCCTTTTCTCCACCTCCTTTAAAGTATAAGCAGCTTTTTCAAGACATTCCTTTTTGATATACAAGTTAGTTAACGTACTATAAGTTACCCAATCTGGATCTAATTTTGTCTTCTTCAGCTCCATAAAGACTTTCTCAGCTGTTTCCACATCATTTTGTGAGGCACACGCAGTTAACCACATATTATAAGTAACAAGATCCGGTGAAGCCTTTCTCTTTAATTCTTGAATGATCTCCGCAACCTTTTCGAACTGCCCATTTGCAACATACACAGATAACATATGGTTATAAGGAAGAGCATTCCTCAAGAACCCACATTCAGACATTTTCTCCATCAAAGCCTCCGCTTTGGAGATCGATTTATTCTGGACATAAGCATGCAGGAGAGCTGAACATGTTTGATAGTCCCTCATTTTATCGGGAATATCTTCCAAGAACTTCTCTGCACTACTTAGACCACGAATTTTCGCAATCAAGTCCAAATGAACAGCATAATCACCCGGTAAAAGCTTCATATCATGCTGTTTTGTCATCCATTCACATACCTACATATCTCATAACTAATCACATAAATAACAACAAAATCATTGTAAAAACACACTAAAATTAATATCAAACTAAGTGCAGCACAACCAGTTATAAAATGATAAAGAGAATGTAGGCAATCTGATTATGACCTCGAGGGCGTGCTTGTATCGCTTCAGCTTACGGAGCTCTCTAACAATCCGATTGAGCTCGTACTTTCGGACGGTGTGTCCCTCTTCTTTCCATTTCCTTATTGCTATCACTGCACTCCGTTTTCCATACGTCAAACTAAACAGCCTTCTTCCTAGCGTGTCTCCACCACCACTCTTTTTCCCTGCTCCTCCGCTAACAACAGCCTTCTCCGCCGCTGCTGCAGCCGAGAACTGCCGCGCGGCGGCTGCAAGGGTTCCCCGTACACACCGCATCAGCATTCCAAATGCAAGCCGAGGTTTTACACTGGATTGGATATAAAAACAATATAAATGGGCTGGTAATGGGCTTCAATTGATTGAGTCCAAATAATAAGCCCGAGAAAACAACGCGCGTCCTGACTTTACCATACGCGCGTGATAGCTTTGAAAATCTCAAATCTCCCTCGAACTTGGTGCCCCCGCATAAAATGAATTAAACAATAAATTAGTAAATATAAATAACAGATTCTCCGATCTTGTTTCCCTCCCCTAGTTATTCATTTTTCTGATTCCCTTCTTTTGCATTCGCGCTCTCTATTTTCTTTGTTATTATTATTATTAAAAAGATCCAATGCCAGGCGGGAATTCTGCTGCCGCCGGCGGGAAGACCGGCGTGAGAGTCGTAGTCGTCGGAGACCGTGGAACTGGAAAATCGAGTTTGATTGCGGCGGCAGCCACCGAATCTTTTCCGGAAAACGTATCTCCCGTGCTTCCACCCACTCGCCTCCCCGCCGATTTCTTCCCCGATCGCGTTCCTATCACTATCATCGACACTTCTGCTAGGTAAGCATTTCTGTATTCTGTACACACATACGCACTGTATACGTATTTTTATGTTAGTTAAAGAGTAGTTTGCTTGAATTTGTTAAAAGCTTGGAGAGTAGAGGAAAGCTAAATGAAGAATTGAAGCGAGCTGATGTGATAATATTAACTTACGCGTGTGATTTTCCGTTGACGCTAACTCGTTTGAGTAGTTTTTGGCTTGAAGAATTTCGTCGATTAGAGGTATTTTATTTATTTATTATTTATTTTATTTTATTTTATTTTTACATTTTTGAAATTATAATGTAGGTTATTAGCTGGTGAATGGAACTTTAGTTTGTTTTTGTTTGATTGTGTAATGCTAGGTGAAGGTACCGGTGATAGTGGTGGGTTGCAAGGTAGATTTGAGAGATGAGAATCAGCCGATTAGCCTGGAGCAGGTTATGGGACCAATCATGCAGCAGCATAGGGAGATTGAGACCTGCATAGAGTGCTCTGCTGTTACCCTTATGCAGGCAATTGAATTTGATTTGACATCACTAGCAAGCAACCACATCTAAGAATTATCCTTAATATGTTTCGTTTAATGTTGAATCGCAAAATGAAGTAGGAGAACGGAAAGTTGGTGGTAGTGTTGAAAGCTATAAAAGCAGAAAAGGAGAAAAAAGAAAAACAACGAAGGAATTTTTTTTGCAACTAGGTTCCAGTTTTGGTGATCAAAATTACTGTTTTTTCAGCCTTTTATGTTGGAATGCAGAACTTTTTGGTTCATATTATTTAGAGGTGTTGTCATACTTATTAGAACATTAACCTTGTCATTTTCCATGTCGAAACTCACATGGTAGAGGTATAAAGGTTATAATTTAAGAACCAAAGTTAATTGTTTGTAGGTCCCTGACGTTTTCTATTATGCTCAAAAAGCTGTACTTCATCCAACAGCTCCTTTATTTGACCAAGAAACTCAAGCTTTGCAGCCCCGATGTATAAGGGCACTGAAAAGGATATTTGTTATATGTGATCGTGACATGGATGGGGCGCTCAATGATGCAGAGTTGAATGACTTTCAGGTTTCCTTTTCTTTTTCTACTTGTTTCCGTTTCTTTATGGACAAATTGAATATTACAACAAAAAAAATACCGAACATTCATTTTCTGGGTCATAGCAGACTATATTATTAACATAATGTTAATGATAATCCAAAACAGAAAATTTGATTTCCTTCTAGTAAAAAGGAACCAGAAATTAAGACGTGAGAGACCCCAATTCACTGAATGCCAGTTAGGTTAACTTCTTTGAAATCCCCTCTAATGCTAGTTAGGGTACCCCTTAAGAAGGCCAAAAATACTTTCCGTTTCGGTTGTTGGGGATTCTTACTTGTTGTGATAATGTTATCCAGGTTAAATGTTTTGATGCTCCACTGCAGCCTGCTGAAATAGTAGGTGTGAGAAGAGTTGTGCAAGAAAAGAAGAAAGAAGGGGTCAACGACCTGGGCCTTACCCTTGAAGGGTTCCTGTTTCTCCATACTCTTTTCATAGATAAAGGGCGCCTTGAAACTACTTGGGCTGTTTTGAGAAAATTTGGCTATGGCAATGATTTAAAACTCAGAGATGATTTTCTTCCAGCTCCATTGAAGCATGCTCCTGATCAGGTGCGTGACTGATATACTTTATTGGAATTTGCATCTGGTGTTTGTTTTTACTAATTTTTGTTGTGGTACACCTTATTTGTGTCCTTTTATGACAACTTCAGTTTTGGGGCATGAAATAATAACCTCTTATGGAGTTTGTTCTGTCATCATGTAGAGTATCGAGTTGACAACTGAAGCTGTAGAGTTTCTTCGTCAGATGTTCCGATTGTTCGATACTGATAATGTATGTGTTAATAGTTGCTAGATTCTTTGACCATCACTTCCATGGCAGTTACGCTTTCTTTTTTCCTTCATATGTAATTTACCTCCAACAGTATTTTTAATGTTTCAATTTACACCTAATAGCATGGAGCCTTACGACCTACTGAGCTTGATGAGCTATTTTCAACTGCTCCAGAAAAGTAAGTCCGGTTATTTGCTTTTGTTCCTTGATTTTCTTTGCTGTAATTTGTCGATGTTTGTTCACCATATATTTTCTTGGGTGCATTGTCTCTGTTGGGTGCAAACAAATTGCATGCATCTTTTGCTACCGCTTACTCATCATATGCGATGGTGAAAGTACTGTACATTTATCTCATTTTAAACTTATATATTAGCATCAGGTTTCATCAGTTTGTAACTGGAGTTTGAACAAAATACAAACTTGCATCCCCCATGCTTCATGTGGTTATAAATTCGGACAATTTGTCTCTGCTTCCAAACGATATTCAAGATGGGACTGGACTTTAGCAGACAGAATTGGACTTGGGTGTTTTTTGCTCTAGGTATAAAAGAGAGGGATGGTATGGCAAGAAAAAAAGAAGTATTCTGACGCTTGTCCATGGGATTGGTCAAGCATGAGCCAAACACCAAAACAATAGAGTTGCCCCATCTATCTCTGCAAGTCCCATGTATATGCACACTAATTACCTTATTTTAATTATCATTTTTCGCTGTCATGTAGAAAATCATGTAAAGCTGAACTCCTTAAAAACCATCCGTGATAAAAACACATGTTCAAGGATCAGCATGAAAGAGCCAAAAGTTTTTGTATCTAAGCATGCTACAATTTTCATGTTAATGTTACAAAATAGAAAGCTCATGAAAATGCCACTTCAATGCAAAGAGCAATATCATAAAATGAGCAAGCCTAGTTGCAGATTTACTACATCTTCGGTTTTCCTTATATTGCTGGATTCAGTTAATGAGCTAGATGTTTGAATCCAATTCTAAATTCTACAAAAATAAAACAAAAACTAGGAGATTTTCCTAGGCATGTATTTTTCTTTCTTCCTAAAAATTTGGGAACATTTCTTTGTTATGTCAGAAAATATTTTAAGGGATGGTCCTTGTAGTAGGATTGAAACAAAATTCTTTTGATCAACTGTTGAAAGCTGGTAACAAGCAAGCAGGTTTGGCATGTCCCTTTGTTGTTATTTTTTTAAGGTAGTTTTGCACCCCTGCATAAGGGGCTACTTGCTGATTGTCCAATCTCTGAAGGACTTGTATCTCATATTCTGAGGAGGTACCTGCTCCATAAGGATGTTGAGAAGCAAGCGTGAAGATACAAAAAATTGGTTTGTTATTTCTCTTTCCTGTCCCAGCTGCTACTGCAAGACCTCAAATTTATTGTTTTTCTCTCAAGGGGAAACTTTGATTGCAAACACAGTTAGAGCATTTTTTTTCTTTGTATCGCTTCACCGCATTGCCAACAACTAGCTGGGATACAGCCTTGAGGGTCTTAGGCATAGCTACATTTCCTCTGAATTTCTGTTGCAGTTTTCCTTTTTTTATCTTTGTTACTGCATTCAAATTGGAAGCAAAGACTTCTTATTATCCTTTTCCAATCTGCTTTGTTTCAAGTTTCCTATGATCTTGCAAGTTGCTCTATTGGGCTTTCTTCTGTTTACATAGAACTTTCCATAAATAATGTGTTATTCATTTCCATATTTCAGTCCTTGGGGTGAGGCTCCTTACAAGCATGCTGCAGAGAGAAACACACAGGGAAATTTAACACTGAAGGGGTTTCTATCTGAGGTATGCAGTGCTAACTACTCTTTCTTTAGCTCCTTCTGATTCTTGGTGTCTTTAATGCATTCCAACATGTTATACTATGTGAGAACAGCGTTCTCTGAACCACCTTAAACAATTTACTTTCTTGAACATGCCCCAATTCTATTCCTTTTGTTGTTTAGCGGTGGAGAAGGCACAGCATGTGGGAACATCTGACATCAGGCTTCTGAAAAGTCCTCTTAAACATAAACAAATTATGGATGTGTTAGGTGGCTTACACGAGATGCAATTAAATGCATCCATGGTGATAATATGCTTATAACTTGGTAGAACACTTGGTGCCAGTATTCTGTGAAAGCCATGAAGTCCTTATTCAAAGGAAGCTGGTATTTTGGCTATTTTATTATGATGGAAGCTTGGTTGGTGTTTCTCCAATTTGTCTGGGAGAAGTAGGCCTATCTTTATGTATTGCATCAGAGTTGCTTTGTTATAATTGTTCATCTTCTTTATTGATTCCTTAATCTAAAAAATTGACCCGTGTTACTATTTCTCTCTTTCTGCATATTTTCTCCTTTTCTTTCTCTTTTCTTTGTTTTTGCAAAAGAATATCCTCATTTCAATACAAAATGGAAGACTTATTTGTAAATATGTCTACATCCATTTTTTATCTGGTCACTTTTAAGTCTGTTACTTTTAATCTTCTTGAACTATCTGTAAAATTTATTTCTATTGAATGTTTGCTTGCAGTGGGCTCTCATGACCATGCTGGATCCACGAGGGAGTTTGGCTAATTTGCTTTACATTGGATATGGAGGAAATCCGGCTTCAGCACTTCGTGTTACTCGGAGAAGATCCGTTGATCGTAAGAAGCAACAAACAGAAAGAAATGTCTTCCACTGCTTAGTTTTTGGCCCTAAAAATGCTGGAAAGTCTGCTCTGTTGAATTCATTCTTAGGAAGGTATTGTCTCAAACCTATTGTGATGGCCATTGTAGCCAATATGCTCTGGATAGTTTCATCTGTTAACTTCACTGAGTTATCCTAGGTGAACCTAGTTTTGTTTCCCTTTTTTTCCATTTTTTAAGTTCTGCTTTCTACTAAGCAATAGTAATTTTGTGCTGCCAATTCCAACACAGGCCATTCTCAGAAAATCATGATCTGACAGCTGGTGAACTTTATGCAGTGAATGTTGTTGACCAGCTTGGGGTACGTATGGTAGCCAATCTGTTAGGCGATAGTTCTATAGAATAGCATTCTAAACAAGTGCCTTTTTCAAAAGATGAATGCAAATTATGTTTCAATCTACATATACGGTCTGAAATTAAGGAGAATGCACCAGGTCATCTGCATCAAGGTATTGTAGACTTGAGCTTTATGGTCATCTTTTTTCATGCAGTTGTCCTTGCAGGGAAATAAGAAGACCCTTATTTTGCAAGAAATACCAGAAGATGGAGTGAAAAAATTCCTATCCAATAAAGAATCTCTGGCATCAGTTGATGTTGCTGTATTTGTTTATGACAGGTAAGTTTGACTCTGGTGGTTTTTAGCAAGCAAGTGTGACTCCCTTGTATTTATTGGTAGTCAAGCTACCAGTAGATGATCTGTTCTGCCACCATATATTATGTGTCATGGACTCTGATCGTGCATGTCATCTTCTTTTTACCAAATTCTTAAACTATTGCCTCTGCTGTTCCTCCACAAATGCATGTGCTTGCACGTACCTTGAAAGTGTATAGAATGGCATTGAATTTCTCTTGGAAGGGGTAGAAATATACTATTGGAATTAGTTTTTTTGTTATACCTGTTAGGTTTCCTCTCTTTAGATATATAGATATCATGGCATGACATATGTTTCCTATTGCCAGCTCGGATGAATATTCGTGGAAAAGGTCAAATGAACTTCTTCTAGAGGTTGCTAGGCATGGAGAAGAAAGTGGTTATGGGGTGCCTAGTCTCATTATTGCTGCTAAGGATGACTTGGATCCACATCCAATGAGTGTGCAAAATTCAGCAAGGGTATGCCTTTTGTCACTGAAACCTCATCTTTGCATACTTGAAATGAAGTCGTATACGTATTGCCCATCCCTTTTATTGTTTTTAAGCTATGCTTGTGTTGATAGTTTCAAATTCTTCTTCAGGTTTGCCAAGAGTTGGGAATAGGGGCTTCTGTTCCTATCAGCTCAAAGCTTGGAGATGTGAATAATGTTTTCTGCAAGATTTTAAGTGCGGCTGAACACCCTCATTTGAACATTCCTGAAACTGTGGCTGGGAGGAAACACAAGCAGTTCCTCCGGCTTGTCAATCACTCCCTTCTGTTTATGTCAGGTTTTGCCTCCCTCCCCCACTGAGGAAAAAGAACTTCCATTACACGGATGCATGAACATGAATGACACTCGTATCATACTATACATGTCCGCATGAATTGTCCTAACTGTTATGTTTCACCTATGCAGTTGGCGCTGCTTTTGCTGTTGTTGGAATGGCGGCTTTTCGTGCCTACGGTGCAAGGAGGAATTCTTCTAGTTAGCTTCTGTATGATTTTGACCAATCAACTGCTGCTATTTTGCTGGCTTTGAAGCTTCAAGGAAGGCTTTCCCAAGTTTTTGCGATTTAAGCTTATGATGGAGCCCGTGTATATAAAACATCTACGATTCTTTCAATCACGCTGCAATCCCTTCTAATTCATGTTCTGATTTATTATTATGCATATTCTCGTTTGCTAGGATTTACACTATTGACATTGTTCAAGCACTGCGGATTTTGGACCCTGTAACCTTTTGCTGCGGTAGGTTTTTTGGCTGGCACATAGGGATGTGCAATGGACGTGCACTTAATCCATTAATTTAATTTTTTTATTATATCCATCAAAAGAATATTTTATTCATTATTCATTAAAAAATTATCATATAAATTTTTATCCACTCTATATTTGGCTCATAGTGGTTTATCAATTCATTAAATACCCGTTAAATTTAATTTATCAAAAATATTTATTTTAGTTTTTATAATTTTTTTAAAAAAGTTTTTTTATCCTTAAATTATTATTATTATTATTATTATTTTTGGGTCCTTGAAGTTGTTGAAAAAAAAATTGATTCTTAATTTTTAAATTTTATGTAATTAGATTTTTGTATATGAATAAAAAAATTTAAATAAATTAGTGGTTATTAATAGGATAAGGAGTGGATACTTATATTTTAAAATCATATTAATCGGTATGTATTTTTTATTTTTATTTCAATACCTATTAAATATTTTTAATGAATATTTATTAAATAAAATAAAATAGATATTCATTTTATGTATGGTCTATTGCCATCTCTATTGCCACACAATGAATATAAATTGAATCCAAAAGCTTGAATCTCTCGCTTTCTTTATCATTGCATCTATGTGGGCATGTCCCTGTTCGTGTCATTGTACATAAGAAAATCAGCTGGGTCATGCACGCCTGACCTCTCTCGTATTGATGAGTTAAGAGCCCAGTGTCTTGCCCGGACCTGGACCTTAGGTTACTTGTTCAGTGGAGTGGTTGGATTCAATTGCATAAAATAATACAACATAATCCATTACAATGAAAATCAAAATTTTAAAATTTGATGAGAATTTCTGAAAAAATAACAAATTAAAGAGGTCAATTTTAAACAATAAGAGTGAGCTGATATATATATAGTGTGTGTGAGTGTGTGTGTTCATTTTAAGATTTAAAAATATATTGTATCTATTTCATAATTGTAAGTCTATGTGAAAAATAGAAGAAAAAACAATTAGCTTTTCACAATTTTCACACCCAATTCAATAACAATAAAATAAAATAAAATGTTGAAAAAATATATATCTTTGAAAAACACAGAGACCAAAATAAAATATAATGTAAGATTTATATATGTAATTAAAATAAATTGTTGGAAAAAAAAAGCAATATATATATATATTGAAAACACCGAGGACCAAAATAGAATATACTATAACATTTGTATACAAATGCCAAAAAAAAGAGTCCAAAAATCACAAAATACCATTGCGTGTTGAAAAAGAATAATGCACATGAATTTGAGTAAATAGTATATATGAGTTTAAGTGAATAGTGAAACCTTCCAAATCTTTTAGTTTTTGTTTACTAGTTTGCTACCCGCGATATGATGCAAGTCTAATAGAACCAAATCTTTTCAATTTGATACCACACGTTATACTATAAATCTACTAAAATATATCAAATCAAAAGTATTTTTTAAAAAAAAATATTAATCAAAATCTTGTATTTAATTGATTATTCCTTATGTTTTTCATAAATTTTTAATTAAAAAAGCATGATTTTTTATTGTGTAAGCATTGGTTCTTAAATAAGAACTCGCAACAATCTAAATAAAAAATTGAATCCCAAAAGAATCTTAATATCTTTTTCATAAGATTGTATAAAAAAATAAAACAACAATTAATATAAAAAATTGTTTAGAAATTAATAAATATAAATATAATTTTTATTTTTTTATTTAATACTAATGAGAAAATTGTTTTTTTTTTAAAGCATGTACATTTAATTTGTATTATATTAAATCACAAAATAATCAATAATATAGCATTAAAAACTGTATTTGAATCATTAGATGGTTTTTTTTTGAAATATTATTTTAATTATTTTATTCTAAAGAAACTAAATTTAAAATATCCAAAAGAAAAAAATAATAATAAATAGTAAATAGTTGGTTTTATATGTGTAGATGCATAGTTAATTTTTAATAAAATCGATGATTTATCATTATTTTTTTATATACATTATGATTATACTCGGTAGATCCACGAGTATAGAGTGTGTGTGTGTGTGCGTGTTAAATAAATTTAAAGTTAATAGACTAAAATAAAAATTACTATAAAATTGATTTCGATAAATTTTCATTACATAAAAAAGAAGCAAATAAAACATGTAAAATCCATTTTTGAATTGATTATTTTAATTTTTTTTAAGTTAATATAAAGTATTTGAAATACATTTTTAATCTTTAAATTATATATGTATAGATATATTGCTCCCATTTAAAAATCATAAGAATTTATCATATAAATTATATTAATTTATTTTTAAAAAGAAAAAATAAATCACATTCTAAAATTTCATTCAAAAATTCATACATAGAGAAAAATAAATTATATTTTTAATAAATAAAATTATATTAAAAAATTAAGAAATTAATTTGATGTTTCTATAAAAATGACAAATATAAGAAATTGTCTTAAATTTTGAAGAAAAAAATCAAAAATGAAAAATTGAAGAAAAAAAAAAGAACCGTAAACGACACATTGTCTGCTGCAACTTTCAACAAACTAGAGCTCCTTAAAAATAAAATAAAAATTAAAAAAAAACAAAAAAAAAAAACTAATTTTTGGGTTTTTCGATCTCAAAATTTAATCCTTCCATCATTTTTCCTCCAAAACACTTTAAAAACCCCGAAATTAGGCAAATAAACTCATTTGAAAACTTAAAAATCTTTTAATGCACATTTTAAAAAAAATCAATTCAAATTGAAAATTTTTATTTTTTTTTAGCTCGATCTATCTCCTTTAGTCATTTGATGGCTCGAAACCACAATATACAAACCTTTTTTCCTAAAGATAAACAAACTAAATGAAATATTGTCTGCCAATGTGACCGGAATAAGCCTGGCCGTCCCTTTCTCTCTCTCTCCTCTCTTTTCTCTCTTCATTTGTCTTTCCTATATGCACACAATGACCAAAGTGCCTCACAAATGAAGTTCTATATCAAAATAAAAAGTTTAAAAACATCAAGGACCAAAATATAAAATTTTTGTATAATTCCCTTATGATTGCTTAAAAAACGAACTTCCGTACACAGTACAGCTGAATCTAGTAATACAGTAATTCATCCTAACTCTTTTAGTTTGTTTTATATCAATGAGGCCTACATGATTCATGGCAATGTACTAATTTTATTGTGTGCATAAAATGGCATCGTGTATATCTGCCAACACTTTCGAGCGCTTAATTTCTTGTCATAAATCATGATCAACGAACAGTTACAATTGAACGGTTTTTTCTTTTTTCCATGGAAAAGGAAACTTAACATCAGACAAAGTAATTATACTGATTGTTTCCGGATGGGTACTTAGGGAGCAAAGACTCTTGAATCCTCCTCGGGCTTTTTTTGCAGGAGACAACTCTCTTTAATACCTGCTTGCCACTTATTATCTCCCGTATTTGTTTCCTTCACGGGACTAGTTCACCGAAATTTTCTGAATCATTTCATCATAAAAAAAAACCTAACAAATTTAACATAATAGCAAATAATAATAATAATAATCCACAAATTAAATGTTCGTTATAGGTATAAAATTAAATGTATTGCATCCAAATTCCAAATAAGAACTTGAAATCACAATCTGTATGAATAACTTTTCATTATATAATTTTATTGGGCCATTTTATGGCCATGTGAATTTGAAATGAATTGTATTAATTTGGTATTTCAAGGTTTGATGGCTGAAGCATGAAATGTCGGGACGGAACTAGCCATTGGCCTGGCGTAGTCCCAAAAGTTTTATTTTTTCCAATTTGACCCTCATATTAAAAAGGTTTCCAAATGGGTATTTATTAGGCCCTCTCTTTATAATCCTATTCTGTTTTACTTATTTTGAAATTTATCCTTATACTGTTTATGTTAGTAGCCCCATCACAAAATTCTAGTTCCTTCCACGGCTGATGGTCCATAAACGTGATCCGATTCAGATCATAACTTAAACAATTCATTAATGAAAATTCTACATACTTAGACATGATAAAAATGTTATTCTCATAAGTACACAGTTAGAGAAAAGATCATCAATGCTGAGATCAATCGCTGACTAAAGTTTTCATGTTGGAGTATTGATACTTGACTGCATAACCAAAATTATGAAGTGGGAGATGTCATACTTAATGCAAAAACAGAGATAAGTGCGATTAGATTATATTATTGGTGCGGATGTTGCCGAGGTAAAGGCTATGATATATAGTCTCCATTTAGCTATTGATCTATATTTTTAAAACTTAGATTGGTAAAATTAATGAATCATAGTATACACTTGTTTTTGGGGCTTTTAGAAGTTAAGAAAAACAACACCTACAAAGATACACATAAAGGGCTCTTACCGCTTCTTCTTCTTTTTTTAGAGTAGGTTGCCTACGTTGAGTGATGATGTTAGTAAAGAAGGAAACAAATTGGCAATTGGTCTATTCATTTGGTCTACTCAATTAGTTACGTAGAGTATTGCATGATGAATATGTATATGGAAGAGGTTTATATTATAATTAATCTCTTGGTGATGTCGGATTATCTTTTATCAATAAGTTGTTAGTTAAATAATAAGTAAGTTTATTTTTAGATAAATTTCTTGTCAATATATAAGGTTCGAATTCTAAAATTGTACTTTATGAAGAAAAAAAAGTTAAATTTTGTCACTTTCATACCGAACATGATTAATTTATCTCTAATGTAAAATGAGAATATCTTAGTAAAAAAAAAAAAAAAGCTCC